AGGTGGTCACATGAATCCCAACTCCTCACCTCCACTCAGAAAGTGTCAGCAGTAAGGGGGATTTCTAAGTGCCGAGTAGTAGTTACCTATCTGCAATAAGTAGCAGATAGCAAAATGGAACGCCTTAGTTAGGAAAATATTTCTTCATCCTCTCAACTGGCTATCTACTGAATTATTTACATTTCATCATGAAAAAGACATTTATAAAATCACTGGTCTCCATTCCCCACATCTTGCTTATGGATTAGGCATATTTTAAAATCATGAGTTCCGGAGGTGCCTGGGTGGCTCAGCTGATTAAGCATCTGCCCTCGGTTCAGGTCATGATCTTAGGGTCCTGGGATCGAGCCCTATGTCCAGCACTGCATCGGGCTCCCTGCTCAGCAGGGAGTCTGTTTCTCCTTCTCCCTCTGCCCCTCCCTGCCCCCGCTTGTTCTCTCTCTCAAATAAATAAATTTTTTTTTAATTATGAGTTCCAGTCCAAGGTCTTGGAAAAAAAATCACTCTCCTAGGCCCCGATTTCTTCATATTTTAAGTAGGCTAAGATCCTCCATATTTTAAGTGCTATGATTATGTGAAGTAAATGGGCATTTTATGGAGAGAACCTTGCCATCCATCGAATAAAATCGCTAAAATATACACAGTGAAACGTAATTTTTACTTTCCTTCAGCACTTCTTGTTAGCACTTGAGCATTTACTGCTGTCTCTTATAGGGGCTTTCTTCTCTCAAGCCATCTAGAGGGGAGGAACCATATTTTGAGTACTTTCTACTCCACTATAATAGCATTATTAAATGCAGTAATAGTTGCTGTTCTGAATGAATCTTGTAAACATTTCAGATACTTGCAGAAAATAGTGTCGAGTGTCCCTGCGGGAGTGTGGGTGATGGCTGAGGGTGCTTTGATGGCAATGACTCTTAAACTAAAGGTAACCTTGGTGCCGAAAAAGAAAGGAGGACATGGGGCGCCTGGGTGGCTCAGTTGGTTAAGCGACTGCCTTCGGCTCAGGTCATGATGCTGGAGTCCCGGGATCGAGTCCCGCATCGGGCTCCCTGCTCAGCAGGGAGTCTGCTTCTCTCTCTGACCCTCTTGGATCTCATGCATGCTCTCTCTCTCTCTCTCTCTCAAATAAATAAATAAAATCTTTAAAAAAAAAAAAAAGAAAGAAAGGAGGACATGAGGCAGAAGACAATGTCTGTGAATACTCTCAGCCCAATGATCGCAGTCTTTGCATTCCATTAAGAGTTTCTTAACACTTACTCTGCACCCAATTACTCTACAATGAAGCCGGGGAAATCGTGGAGCCGAAGGAAAATTTGAGGAATAATGTTGAGAAAAACAGCCATCAGGCATTAAGGGCTTTAATCCAGTCCCCAGTACAGTTTAATAATATGTGCCACGTGGGTATTCAAAAATAGCCATCATAACGATGGATGATAATGATCATCAGTACTTCGGAGGGTGCAGTGGAAGAACTGGGCCTTGACGCCTTCTGTCCTGTTTTTAGCTCTGTCTCTACTTTGCTTCATCTCAGAGAGCTAAGGACATGGCCATCTGTGCCTCTAGTTTCCCCAGCTGCAGAACAGAGATCATATCATTGCCTACAGGAAGTCTGTGGGCTGTGCTTTATTATCCTCCAGTGAAACATCCTATATAAACACAAAGCAGGCATTGAGAAGCCAAATGCTGCCAAGGGAATAAACTTTAAGACAGAGAGTATTACAAATTACAACTACTTGAGATCCTCTAGGTAATATTCTAATGACTGGAAGTAGTTAATGCAAAGGTACTTACATTGTGTTCATTTTAGATATTGTCTTAAGTAGATGGGAACATACATTATAAATAAGTAAACAAATTCCAGAATAGTTGAATTCATTAAATTCAGTATTTTTCTATCAATGTGAAATATTAGGTGGGTTCTAAATTTCTGAAGTAAACTAGCATTACTTAAAAACTTGCTCTTAAAAAGTAGCAATTATTCTTTTTGTTAAAGATTATATTTATTTATTTGAGAGAGAGAAAGAGAGAGAGCATGCGAGCAAAGGAAGAGGCAGAGGAAGAGAGAGAAGCAGACACCCCCCCACTGAGCAGGGAGCCCGATGCGGGGCTGAATCCCAGGACCCCGGGTTCATGACCCAAGCTGAAGGCAGATGCCCAACCGAATGAGCCACCCAGGCACCCCAAAAGTAGCAATAATTCTTAAATGTACATTAGTGAATACACACAAAAAAAGAAAAAATATATTACTTCTTGGTTACTGAGAAAATAAGGAATTCAGAACACATAGCTGCCCAGTTCATAGACCTGAACCAAAGGAATTATCCGAGTAAACTGACATTATTTGAGCATATCAGCAGAAAGCCATTGGTACTCTGATTCTGAAAGCCTAAATTGTCCTATTTTCTCAATTCCCTTTAATGATGCTTATGGTTTCTTCTATTTTCTTTTGTTTGGTCTGATGGTGTGCTGCAAAATTTAGGTTTTTAAGTTGGTTTGTATTTTTATCTATACATGTAGATTGTTTTAAAATATAACCCAAAGGCTTAAAACAAACACCGAAAACAGTCCCAGAGACAAGGACCTGCAATAGTTTCAGCCACAGGCACACATCTCCGTATTTCTAAATATGTGTATTCTACTCTGTTTTGCATCATCCACTCCGGACATCATTTGCATCCTGTCAGGGTAAATGAGGACATTGCTATCCTGCATAATCATCCCCTCTACTTCTCCTCTACCTTCCCAGTATCACTGTTAACTTTGATTAAATCAACATTCAGCATTTACATTAATATGCCCACATGAAAGGGAAAGAAAGAAACAAAAAAAACAAAGCTCATTCAACTTTTTTTGAGTTCAGAAACAGCTTTTCAGTTTTTTATTAAAATGGAATTCTTCAAAGACTATAGAAATACACCTGGCAATGACCTGTTAGAAGTCAACCATCCGCTTCAAACATACATAAGAAATAACTCCCAAATTCTGCCTCACCAGAATGTGTTAAGATGTACATATATATTATCAGGACAACACCAAAGTGGCTACATTTGACAGGTTCTTCTAAAGTAAACACAATTTTCTGACAGATTGGTTTCCCCTGGAGGAACGTTGTAACAACTGTGAAGGTTTTGAAAGATAAGTTTGAAGGGCCACAGTTAACTACCAGGGCATGCACAAAGGGCCTGGGAGGTGGGGGAGGGGCGCCAAGAGAGGGTGTGGCAGCCCTCGTTTGTGCTGAGAGCACACAACAGGCAAGGAGACACAACACGGAGAGGAAGGCTTTCCCTCTCCTGGAGAAGGGACTTTGGGTTCATATTCTGGAATCACAAGACACCACACCCAGGAAGAGAACAGGAAAAGGAAACTCCCTACACATAGTCTGAGCTTCCTCCGAGGGACAACAAGTCAGTGCGGTTTTAGTAAGTGATCAGTAAGGGCCACTGCCTTTGGGATGTGGAAGGAAGTTGGCCAGTGAGAATGTCCACTTTCATTCAAGCTTGCTCGAGGCACTGGATTGCCCACACCCCCCAACATACTATTACCAAGAACAAAATGTCCTAGAGAGCAGAGGGGAACTGGCACTTGATTTGCCACCGTTCAAAGTGAAGTGTCATCAATGGTTTGAGTTTAGCCTGGTGGAATCCACCCCGAAGAAGACTTGAATTGCTTGTGAGAGCCCGCCCTCACCCCCCCCCCCCCCCCCCCACCCCCGCCAGGAGGCTAATCTGTTGAGGACACTGTCCTCCTGCTCTATCCACTCTGACTCCTGCTAAAACTTTACCAGAAAAGAGGAAGTGAAGGGCTTCCCCGGGCTAGGTGCCAACTTGGCATTTTAAAATGATTAAAATCTTTCTCCCTGTCCTTTGTGCCCAAAATGAAGGGAGAACCATAGTTGCGAAAAGAGACTGAGCATGAGGCTGGCCACACCTGGGTTCTGGAGTCCTCATCAGAAGGAAGCCATCTTTGACTTCTCTCACTCTTATGGCAGCATCACCTTCCCTAATCCAGTATTTTTAGCTTGATGTTTCCAGAGGACCGTTTACACTAACTCTGCATTTTTAAATTACCTTTTAATTCCAAAAGTTTGCACAGGGTCATTTTTTTTCAATATACTTCACTCCTACTGATGGTGACATGGCCCCTTTCACATGAAGTCAACACTGGAAGAGAAGAGAGACCTACAGGGTATGGGCATTTCTGTCTTCTCTACCTCTTAGCTTCTCTCTCATTGATTGAAAAAAAACGCAATTTAAGGGGGAAAGACATAGTAAAGCACTTGTAGTGTTTTCCAACCAACACTGCAGACAGACTTTGTGAGGCTTTCAGTAGTGCCAGGAAAATGTCAGGATATTCGAGACAGAATATCTCCTCCATGACCCTCAGGCCCACCTATTGCCTTGTCTGTCAAATGGGGGTGGAAGCGCTTTCCTTCATCTACATCCCAGGGAAAGAGATGAAGGGCTTCAGGAGAAACTGATTCAGCCGATCAGGACTTCCAGAGAAAAGGTGTCAAATGCCAAATCCCTATCTCCCCTGAAGATACAGATCGATATGAAACGTTTTTTAGTATTCATCCTACTGGAGTCAATCAAATAGGCCTTTTCTTTGTGGCCACACCACTCCATGATTATCTTGGGCTTCCCTCAGGGTGCCCCTGCTCCCTCCGAGCTCACAGATGTTCTCTCCCCTACTCCCTGCCAGGCCCAGGAACCAAGGAGTCCTCCGAAAACGCACACGGAGTACCCATCCCAAGACCCCTCGCACACTGCCCACCTTTTGTCTCCACAGAGAGGAATGCACACTTCACCAAGGACACAGATCACAGAGATACATACGTAGACTCCCTCAATAAAGAGGACAACTGATCTTCTCCCTCTCATTCAAAAGGGCCCGCGCAGGAGGAGGCAACGGGGTCTTGGTTGCAACGAGATGCCCCAAATCCTGGGGCCAGCCAGAGTGAAGGGAAGGCAGGAGTGTGGGGAGCTCGACCATCCTGACTAGGAATCCACCTTTGGGAAAATGCTCACTTTATTGTTTCTGCTCATCTTCCGCTCCACCCTGCCTCCCTTGGGCATCTTTGTCTGAATAAGCTCCTCTGGCGTGTTCCCCAAGGGGGGAAGCAGCCGCTTCTTGCTGTTTCGGGTCTCTGAGAGCCACTGAGGAGGCAACTCGAAAGGCCCAAAGCCGAACTGCAGGGAGTACTTGTCAGGCAGCGTCTCGGGCTCCACAGGGGCTGCAGGCGCCCCCTGGGAAACACAGTCCACGGCGCCCAGGAGTGGCGCAGCAGGTGTACGCTGCGGGCCCTGCTCTCCCTGCAGGCAGGGCGCGACTATCTCCTGGGTCGGGAGGTCAGCCGAGCCAGTGTACTTGGCCTCACTCTCCTCCTCATCTTCCGCGGGCTGGAAGATCTGCTGCTGCCCGATGTGGAACATCTCCAGGAGCTGGCTGCCCGAGCGCAGGCTGGGCTCCAGGCCGGCGCCGGCCGCCCCGCCCCCCGCGCTAACCACGTTCCGGCGGCTGTAGCGACGGTGCAGCTGCAGCAACGTGCCTACCAAGCACTTGCGGACAGGCTTGTTCACAGTCAGGAAGAGCACAGGGTTGGCCAACAGAGACACCTTGGGCAGCCAAATGGCAGTGAGCAGCAAGAAGACAGACGTGTCGGGGACGTTGAGCACGGTCTGGTAGACGACCAGCGTGGCGTAGGGCACGCTACACAGGATGAAGACCATCACCATGGACAGCAGGGTGGCATGCAGCTCCGCCTCCCGCTGGGAGGCGTAGGGGATGGAGATGGTGTTCTGCGGGGTCCGCAGGGCCGCGATGACGACCTTCTTCTTCTGGCTGGCGCTCAGGGCCCGGCGGATGAGGATCAGGAAGAGGAAGACCACAGCCACGGGCACGATGACTGTAGTGATGTTATAGACCAGCACGTACACCAGGGGGCCCAGGGAGTTGCTCCACACTTCGGTGCAGGTGGACATGGCATAGATGTCGGCCACGTTGGTCACCGCAAACACGGGCACGCTGGCCACCACTGCGTGGGCCCAGATGTACATCACCAGTTCGCGGGACTTGGCATCAGATATTTTTCTCTCCAGGGGATAAAGGACGGAGTAGTACCTGCAAAATGCACAAGCAAACTTCATTTCACAGGAGAAGGTACCGTTTAAATGAGGGGTCTCCATATTACCAAAAGTAGGAGAGAGGGGGAAAGAATGGGTCAAGTTCTTTTATTCTGCCTCAGACAAAGAGAATCACTGGGGGAATTGGGAAGCCAGACCTTAAGTTTTGAGGACTTTGCTGTGCACAAAAAGCATCACTAGGCCAAAAAAAAAAAAGGACCTTTTCTTTTCTTTTTTTTTTTTCTTAAAGGACCTTTTCAAATGAGCAGAGAAGAGCCCCGTCGTATGGGACACTCAAGACTATCAGGAAAATAGGTAGATAATTGCATTTCATAGCTAACTTTATAAATATTGCCACCAGCATTAGATCCCAAGGAGTGCCCTTGATACAAAGAATGTCCCCATCTGCTGTAAAGACATTGATTTTTCAATTTAAGGGTAAAAGGTAACTTGTAAAAAAAATTTTACATGGGCTAGAGGAGCTTATGGGCAATTTTCAAAGCCACTAATGGAAAGAAATTTGCCTACACACATATCTAAAGCAGATTCATGGTACAGTGCATACATGGATACCATTATCATTTATAGTTGCTTGGGGCAGAAGAACCCCGTGTGAAGGACGGACTCTAACAAGGTCCTTGCACAAAAATCAATTCAACTGACAAAAATTATGCCTGCTCAACAGCCACTGCTCACTCATTGTTCATGATTACTCAGTAACCCTAGCAATTAATAAGTCTGCAATGCTTGCATGATTAGACTTTTGCTAAAATCAGATCAGACCTTTCTTTCTTCAAGCTTTCACTTGTTTAGTCTGTAATCAGAATTCCAAAAGCACCCTGTTTCAATATCACCAATGATTTAGGGAAACTGAGTAATTCTTCAGACCCCAGGAACCACATCTGTCACGAAAGGGCTGTCACTAGCCATCAGACCTATGGTGAGCATACATCTCCGCAGTCAGTCAAATCTGGAGTCGACCTTATATATATTAACATTCATCGCTCATGTGGCCAGGGAAGCAAGCATGCCTTCCTGGCATGAGATTTGTGCCAGGTACTGTACCAGGCACTGGGTTACAAAGATGAAAAGACACACAGCAATGTCTCTAAACCCCATGGGGGAAAAGGCATGCAAGCGAGCAGGCATAACCAAGGAAATGATTGCTCTTCTAGAGGTATGCACAAAGGAGGGACGGGAAAAGGAGCACCTGGAAAAATGTCAACAGAAGGTGGCACTGTGGTGGAGTCTGGCAGGGACAAGCTGGGAGAGAATGTTCCAGGCTGAGGAAGACGCAAAGTAAGCACAACATGACCATGGATGATCAGGAATGGATGGAGAGTGGTGAAATGGGTCCTAGAGTCTCTTTCTGGGAGGGGGAAAAAAAGAGAAGTAAGTGCATAGGTTATGCATGTTCTCAATTTTTTTTTCTCTGAATATAGATACACTTTTCTAATCACAACTCCATAATTCAATGTCAAAAAACAAAAAAAAATCCAATGTCAAGGTGCTACGGGTAACAAAACCACGCTTCCACTATGTACTGGAAAAGCACACAGGCTCATTAGAAGTCATCTTGTTAATGTTTACATCTCTAGAAGATGATGCAGGAAGTGGCCTCCCAGTGAACTCACTGACTAGGAGCCAAGAAACAAGTATCTGAGAAAGAAGTCAGAAAAAGGATTGTCTTCCCTTCACCTTCATGCCCACCACCCTACACTTGCCAGTAACTGGTTTCCCTGCATAATAAAATAGCATTTTTTAAAGATTTTATTTATTTATTTCTTTGAGAGAGAGAGAAACGGCACGAGAGGGCAGAGGGTCAGAGGGAGAAGCAGGCTCCCTGCTGAGCCAGGAGCCCAATGCGGGGCTTGACCCCAGGACTCTGGGATCATGACCTGAGCTGAAGGTAGTCGCTTAACCAACTGAGCCGCTCAGGAGCCCTAAAATAGGATTTTTTTGTACCAGCCTTCTTTTTCTACTAAAAGGATGTATTTGCTTTTTTTATTTTTAGTAATAGCAAAAATACAGTCGATTTTCTGTGCTGGAAAGAAAATAAGGATTTCTTATCATTTACGTTATTTTCTTGACTAAGACTAAAGGCCCAGAAACCACCCACGGGGATATTGCACTGCTTCAGGGTATGGTAGCAAATGATTCAGAATAATGTGTCCCCACTGTTGTTGCATCCTGCTGTGAAAATCTTTCAGGATTCATAAGATCAGCATTACTCACAAGAGCCAAAAAGTGGAAACAACCCAAATGTCAACCAGTAAATGGGCAAAATATATCCATACAATGGAATATTATTCAGTAATAAAAAAGGAACGGGGCAAATTTTTAAGAGTAGATCCTAAGAGTTCTCATCACAAGAAAAAAAAACATTTCCTTCTTTTTTTTCCGTATCTGTATGAGATGATGGATGTTAACTGAACTTACTCTGGTAGTCCTTCCACAATATAAGTCCAGTCATCTTGCTGTACACCTTTAAACTTATATATTGCTATATGTCAATCATATCTCAACAGAACTGGGGAAAAAGGGATGAAGGACCGATGCTCGGGCACAGATGAACCTTGAAGACATGAAAGGCCAATGCAAAAGAACACACTGCATGATTCCACGATATGAAATGTCCCCCGCTCCCCAGCAAAGCAAACATACAGAGATAGATTAGTGGTTGCCTAGATCTGCGGGGGGGGGGGGGTGGTGGTGCGGGGATGACTGTAAATGAGCAGGTGGTCTCTTCTTAGGGTGAAAGTGTACTTTCCAGATATTCAAAGACCTCTTGCCAAGCACGAAAGAGACACACGCAGCAAAATGGCATCGCATGGAGCACCCTCATCTTGTTGAAGGGATTGAGTGACCCATGTAATCTTTCTTGAATGAAAATTAGTCAACAATATTTAAAAACAATAAAATTCGGGGCGCCTGGAGGCTCAGTCAGTAGAGTGCACGACTTTTGCTCTCAGGGTTGTGAGTTCAAGCACCATGTTGGGTATAGAGATCACTTATACAATAAAATCTTAAAAGATTTTATTTGTGAGGGTTCTAGAGGGTAGGGGGGTGGGGGGATGGGTTAGCCTGGTGATGGGTATTGAGGAGGGCACGTTTTGCATGGTGCACTGGGTGTTATGAACAAACAATGAATCATGGAACACTGCATCAAAAAAAAAAAAAAAAAAGATTTTATTTGTTTGGCAGAGACACAGCAAGATAGGGAACAAAAAAATAAATAAGTAAAAATGGTAAAACTCCAGATTTCTGATTGCTCTTTAAGAAAATAGAAAGTCCTGCCTACCAAGTCTAGATACCTACAAAGTAACTATTAGCTGCATCTGCTGAGTTATTGACCCCTATGAGCAGGAATGCAGACACAAAACCCCAACCTGGCCAGCGACACTTGGCTTTGTCACCTGCTTCACCTGCCCCTGGAGATGGTGATCTAGTGAGAAACTTCCGAAGAGCTAGTGGCTCCCAGCCAGATCTGATGGTACAATGATTGCAGACAATATATCTAAGGAAAAATGTGCCCATCGAAAGAGAAGCCTAGGGAAAGATAGGCAAATATTGATGCGGCCTATCCAAGCACAGGCCATACATAATTCATTTAGTTTTTCTTACTGTGGAGGAAGGTTAGGCTCAGAAAGGTTAAGCCACTTGGCCCAAAGCAACCCAGCACAAAAGCAGTGTGTAGGTAGGGCTTAAAGCCACTTGGGGCTCCAGCCTCCCCTCTCTTAACCACAAAGTCAATGACTCCTCCTAGTACGCTGGGGACTTTGTGGAACTCTGTGTCCCTCCATGCAAATGACCCCGAGCAGCTGATCAAATCAGAGTTCCAGGCCTGCGGCTGAAGGGACTCCACAGATTGGTTCTGCAATCCATGCCCTCATAGGTCATTAAGGTATCAAGTATGTTTTGAATGGATAAAGAGTTTAAAAATTCCAAAATCATGGTGCGCCTGGGCGGCTCAGTCGGTTAAGCGTCTGCCTTCAGCTCAGGTCATGATCCCAGGGTCCTGGGATCGAGTCCCGCATCGGGCTCCCTGCTCCGTGGGGAGCCTGCTTCTCCCTCTGCCTCTGTCCTGCCACTCCCCCTGCTTGTGCTTGCACTTTCTTTAAATAAATAAATGAATCAAATATTTTTTAAAAATAAAAATTCCAAATTCATGTAAAATCCATTAAAATGTATCAATGGGGATAAAGTCAGAAGAGCCAGCACTTTCTCCTCAGCAACATTTCCTCTCTGTAAATCTTGAAATCAAAAGTACTCATGGATGCAACTCCTCAGTTCTTGTTTGCTTATTTAGTTCTATTCTCTAAAATGTATTACTAACTCAAACTGTATTCATGAAGTACTCACAACAAAAAGAAAAGGCAGGAAGCTGTTGATTACGGAGATCTTTACACTTGACCCTGATAAATTTGATCCAATTATGTACAATGGCAGTAGCTAAGATATGATTCATTTCCAAGTGAACATCCTTTTAAAGAGGATGGGAGGAGAAAACAACCACCACCACAATACAGAGGTTTGGAAATCAATCCTCCAAAGGAATTCTGGTATTATCTTGCCAGGTCCAACTGGGCTGTCTAATCATTTGTTAACTCACCACTGAATTGTCCCCTTGTTCTTCCAGAAATGTTTTGATCCTACATCAAAAAGCACTAATTGCAGAGTTATCAGATGAGCAATCTTCTACAAATTACAACGCAAATACCACCAATTCCAACCAAGCTGAAGCTACACCATGATCCAGCCGGCTCCAGCAACCTCATGATGAAACCCCCCCCCATGCCACGTCCTTTCTCAAGGTTCTATTTTCCGTAGCTGCCACGAAATCAACGTGTCTTTTGTGAGGCATCTATTTCAGACATTCATTCTCTTTCTATTGACCATGAGGGAACTACAAAGTATGCGGAACATTGACTAGTCACCCTTTGCTTTGTGATGCTAATTTTTCAATGCACCGGGCAGGGGGCAGGTGGGGGGGGCGGTTTGAACCCCGGGCTACCTGATCTTACCTGTCCAAGGCAATGGCAGGGAAGCTGAGGATAGTCACAGAGCAGAAGACTTTGTGCAAAAATTTGACGACCCTGCAGAAAAGCATGGTATAGATCCACCAGCAGCAGTGAGGACTGGTGCTGAGCATGATGTCAAAGGGCACACAGACCAGGCTGGTACAAATCCCGGAGCAGGCTAGGTTTTTAATGAACCTGTTGGTGACAGATTTGAACACGGTTGTGCGGCAAGTTGACCATAACACCATGAAGTTTCCTGGCCAGATATGCAAAAAAAAAAAAAAAAAAAAAAATTAAAATTAAAAAAGTTTTTAAAAAATTAAATGAAAAGAAAGAAGAAAAAAAGGAAAGAAAGGGACAGGTTAAAAATAAGATCTGGAAAACCACATTTGAGAGTTATTTCAAAGGATTTCATGTAAATACTTACATATTCTATTGTCAGTTTATGTGAAAGTATTAAGTCACTTATGTACACATCAAAGTCTAGAAGGATTTTTGGAGGTGAGTTCTGTTATTTAGTTTTAGACTAACAGTATTAGATATGACTCAGTCTTATCTGAGTATAAAGAATTTGCTAGGTATTACTTAATCTCAGGCAAGTACTACTCTTACCAAGTTTGCAAATGACCTCCACGTTGCCAAACTCCCCAAGAGAAATATGACGCAAGCCACACATGTAATTAAAAATGTCTAGCAGCCGTATTTTGCAAAAAAAAGCAGGTGAAATTTTAAGAGTATACTTTATTTATCCCAATATATCACAAACATTGTCATTTCAACATGTAATCATTACTTTTAAAAGTACTGATGAGGGGCACCTGGGTGGCTCAGTCCCAGTTAAGCGTCTGCCTTTGGCTCAGATCATGATCCCAGGGTCCTGGGATGGAGTCCTGTGTCTGGCGCCTAGCTCAGCGGGGACCCTGCTTCTTCCTCTGCCTGTGCTCTCTCTCTGACAATAGATAAAAATCTTTAAAAAAAAAAAAGTACTGGTAAGTTACTTTTCATTCTTGTTTTTGCACTGTCTTTGAAATTTGGTGTGCATTTTTTTAATTGAAATGTAACTGCCATGTAACATCAAATTCATTTTAGGTGTCCATGGTGTACAATTTGTTCTACACTTTTTAAAGAAGATTTTATTTGAGAGAGAGAAAGAGCCCAAGCAGGGGGAGCAGCAGGCAGAGGGAGAGGGAGAAGCACACATTTCAATTTGCACTAGTCACATCTGGGGTCCTCAGCAGTGACTTGCAGCGAGCAGCTACCGTGTGGGATTGTACTGTGTTCTAGACCTTCAGCAGCAATGATGCAATGACACATCTTTTGAGCATTTTCCTATTGTGGCTTCCACAGGCCTATAATGTCCTGGTTTTCCTCCTGCCTCCCACCCACTCTCATGTCCTGGCTGTTCCTCATCTTTCTTACAAGGCTCTCTATCCTCTCTCTAGAGCCACTCTCTAGGCAAGATGACCCATTCAGGTGGCTCTTCATCAAAATGCTAATGACTCCCACATTCTCGTCTGATGTTAGACCTCTCTTCATTTCCACACTCCTATTCCCAACAAAATGTCTGATTCCCTTCCCTCTCAATCTGTTGTCAAAAGCCTGCCGACATGATCTGGTGCCTACCTGCCTAATCTCGCTCCTCTCTTGCCTGGGCTTGCTAGGCACCAGCCACTCTGGCCTTTCCTTCCATTCCTGAAACAGGATCAAAGTTGAGCCTGTCCCAGTGCCTTTGCCCAAGTTTTTTATCCTGTGTAACATGCTTCTCGTATGTCTGGTTCCCTTGAAGTTAGGTCTCAGTGTAATTGCTGCCTCCTCAGAGAGGCCTTCCTTAACAAGCTTTTTATTTTAAATACTCACTGCTCCTCCCTCCATGACCCTCTCCTATAATACCCTGTTGGGGTCTTCATAGCTCTTATCATAATTACTAATTTGTTTACTTGTTTCCTTCCATTTCATGAGGACAAAAACCGTGTCAGTGTTGTTCACTCTTACAACTCTACTGCTCTGCTCAGTCTCATTATCTGGCACAGAATAGGCAGTCAGTAGATATTTATTGAATAAATGGATTTGTAAGCGGGAGACAAATAGTAATCAAAAGTCCCTTTGGTAAGCTAACACCTTTGGTAGTACGTTCATCATGTTAGAATATTCTAAGTCAGTAGTTCCCAAACCTCACTGTGCATCAGAATTGCTATACCAGACATGCTTAACCACAGTTAATGGGTAAGGAACTGGGAATCTGCACTTAATAACAACTTTCCCAGATGGAAAGTTTCAGAAATCCCAGTCCTCAACAGAAGTAGCCTCCGCCCAAGAGTCTCCAAGTCTTCAGGTAGGCAGGGCAGCCTACCTTACGGTTAAAGCTTGTACGTGGTGAGAGCCAGGTCCACGGGGACAATGAGTCATGCCCCAAGGACATGGCGACCTCCTGTGCACATGCTCAAGACGATGTGCTCTAATGCTGAGCCAGAGCTCAGCCTCACTTGGAAGGAGAGTGACAGAGCCAGGGAAGGAACATCAGGGCCAGGGGCAATTGCCAGCCACTGCAAGGACCTGCCTCAGTGCCTCCAAGGTTGACATAACTGGTGTCAAGACTCTCTCTTCCAATACAATATTCTACAGCTACCTCTTATGTGCCAAAGATAAAAACAGCTACTGTGTGGAGGTAAGCAGGCCAGCTGCTTACAGGAAATTCTCTCCTAAACTTTCCTTACGTCGGTATGTTGCCTCGGTGAGAAGAAACCAGCACTGTGAATATATACACATTTATTGGTGTAAGAGCTGCTCATACGAATACCTCCACCTCAGGCCCCCTCACACTTTCCTGTGTCACCAAGGTAACAGACTGAGCAATAATGATGTACTTGAAGCTCTGCTGATTTGGGGAATTTTTCCTCTGGCCTTTTCCCACTGAAGCACAGATTAGAATCTGGCTGAAGCATCTTTCCTCACTTTGAAGGTTTACAGAGAGGACATAAACTCTGGTAACCATCCAACCATGAAATAGCCCACTTAAATCTGCCCCAGCGCCTGGGTGGCTCAGTCACTTAAGCGTCGGACTCTTATTTAGGCACAGGTCATGATCTCAGGGTCATGAGATCAAACTCCACGTTGGGCTCCTTGCTCAGCAGGCAGTCTGCTTCAGATTCCCTCTCTCCCCCTCTGCCCCTCCTCCTGCATGCAGCACGTGCTTTCAATAAATAAATAAATAAAATCTTAGAAAGAAAAAAGGAAGGAAGGAGTAAGTCTACCATGAAGACCAAGTACACGTCACAGTATTTTCAGTTGTCAAAATCAGGGCTACTTCCAGTCTACTTGGGACTTCCCATAACAATCCTTCCTTGTTCTAAATCAAGACCTTTAGGATTTTCTTTTTCTCTTATCACTGTCAATATTCTTAGTTTGGTAGGTTATGCTGAATAAAATATTGTAACAAACAAACAAGACAATTCATTGCAAAGGAGAGGACAGGCTGTGGGCCAGGGTCTCTCGAGCACACAGTAGATTCTTGAAACTTAACTGAAGCTAATTTCCATCATTTCTCATACTCTATTCTCCTATCTTTCCCTCCCCCTCCCAGTTGTGTCAGGCATACTATTTTATTGTTTTTTTAATCATACATTTTATTTGTATGTTCACACTTTCATACACAAGTTATTACGGAAAAACCTGAGACTGCTATAGTCACATTTTATCTCCACTTATTAATAAAATGGTAGGTGGTATCTGGAGCCTAATCCCTTTTGCTATTAAGAACCTGAAGCTAAAGAAGCCTGTGTTCTTCCCATTTTCTAAACTACCTCTCTCCTCACTTAAAAACTGACTTCTTTGGTTCTAAGAACCTGAATTAGACCATAGTATCAGGAGAGGAGCATCCACAAGCAATCTCTAATTGACCACACATAAGAAAACAAGTATGTGTATATATACTCTCACACACACACACACACTACCAGCACATGAGCAGACATACACATTCATGCACACAAATATACAACAAAGTAAAATAATTACATATTTGATCATTTCATCTTATTAGCACTTTATTTTTTTATTTTTTTTAAGATTCATTTATTTGACAGAGAGAGCAAGAGAGCACAAGCAGGGGGAGCAGTAGAAGGAGAGGCTTCTGCTGAGCAGGGAGCCCAATGTGGGGCTCAATCCCAGGACCCTGGGATCATGACCAGAGCTGAAGGCAGACACTTAACCATCTGAGCCACTCAGGCGCCCCTTATTAGCACTTCAGATTCTTCTTAGCTTTATAAGGCATCCTAAGGATAACTCAGTATATATTTTAAGTAACACAACATTCAACACTGAGATACTTTTTTAGAGATCATGTTCTAAATCACCTAATCCCCCTTGGAAATAATTCAAGTTCTGTACCCATTATTTCTCCCTATATATACTCATTATACATTCTAATACTGGATTCCATGACAATCAATATTCAGTGGCCAAGTTGTGGGCACAGCAACACGGTACACACTCACAGCACACACGACCCAGAGGGAAAGAAGAGGTAGAGGGTGATGGCATTGGGGCAAACCTACCTTCCCTGGGACTGCTGTTACTCTATCATTCCTCCCAATCTAAAATACAAATAAAGATTTCTCTTTATACCGTGTACTTCCAACTTAAAAATAATTGATGTTGAAGACATAAGACATGTCAATTGACTCCTACTCACACACAGTGCTTGAGGAAATAACCAGGAAATTTTTTTCCAACTACATTTTGCCTCTAAAAAATTTGACTGTGGCTGGCTGTCCTTTTTAAGTGGTTCACAGGCTTTGCATATTTGAGAGTAACAATCCTGTGTTAAAGGGACTAATAATCAAAATGAAATTATTCCAAAAGTGCCTTGGAAAAGAGTATGCCTTTGGGAATCCTCCTGGAAAAATACATAAATTACTCTTTAAAAACAATCAGCTTCCCCAGAGACTTACAGCAGCGAAAAAATTCATGGTCATGCTTTTCCAGAAAGCTAACATTCTTAACACCCAGATATTCTAAAAATTGACTCTTGAAAAAAGCAAATGAACACTGGAGGCAAAAGTTAAATTATAAGAAAAATCCTAAGACAGCAGACTGCCAAGAGAGAGGCCAAAGTGAATGAGCAAGGGTTAGAAAGACTACAGAGGAATGTTTACTCTCAGCAAACACCATGTAATGTAAGAGCAGAGTCTAAGCAAATTAACATACTCTTCCATAATAGAAGAAACAGAACAGACTACTACTTTGTGTGGAATGGAA